TGCGATTGGTTGAATGATAGACTCGGGAGCCCGAGTCAGTAGTCGAGTCAGAGTCGGGAGTCCGTAGTCTGATACGGGCTTTAGCGAAACAAAGATTCCGCGACGTTTGTCCCTACCCGCCCATTTGTAAACGTAATGGAACCCGTAACCCACGCTGCTCGCTGACAAACTTGACTCGAAGGGACCACTCACGCCGGCGGTGGTGCCCCGAGCAACGATAGGTATTCGAGGAGGCGCGGAAAACGCGGAGGAAACGTGCGCGTTTTCCGCGGTGCCCGCTCGAGACTCGAAATTAGCTTCTTTCAGCTTGGCTTCCCTCCCAGACAAATGGCAGCACCGAGGAGGTCGGACAGGCGTCCTAGTACCGTGCCACGCTGCCCCCCCCCCCCTCTCCCCCGGTCACTCTATCTCTCTCTGTCGAGAGAAAGAGACACGACGGGCCGACTTGTCTAATGGAAACCCGAGGACGCCTTAAATCCCCGCTTTAACTAATTTATTTGTTGGCCCGTTCGGCGAATCGGCGGCGGCGGCGGCGGCGGTCAAGACGCCGCCTTGCCGTCTCGCTCGCACGGAAAATCGTAATTTCCGAGACGAGCACGCGGAGTCACCCCCGTCGGGACCGTTTACCCCCGGAGGTCACGGAAAAATCGATGATCCATTACCGCGGTTACGATTGGTCCCCCGCGGGCCGGTGCGCCAATCATTTCGCCCGGCACCGTCATATCCATTCCACATCCACCCTGACAGTAGCTGATTTACTCGGGCGGTACCCCCAGAGAGTAACGTCGAAAGCGCCGGTGCACTCCCTTAGTGCCGCGCGTTCGACCGGAATTCTTCCTCTCTGCGCGCGGATTGCAAACTGCGCGATATAATCACGCAACCGGGATCCGCCGGGAGATCATGTCGCGGCAACGTGATCGAACGCCGCCGACGATAAACCACCGTTACGATATAATTATCGTCGGTCACATGCAAGTTTCCCGATCGTTACGTCAGTGCGGAGAATTACGACGCCTCCTGCGATTTAATTGCCGCGGCGCGTTGCGACGATTCTGTTTTTTTCTTCTTTTTTTTTAATTCGCTGCCAGTAACGCTTTCGATTTCCTCGAAGTCCTCGATCTTGGAAGAGTCTCGCCGGAATCACTGTCTCTTTCCCCACGCTCCTTGTCCTCGTCGATACGCAATCCCGTCCGCACAACGACCTTCCGGATAAAACTTTCCGCATGGAGAGCCAATTAATTTCTCCAACGTCGCGCCCTTCTTATTTGAATATTTTTATCTACGACTTTTAGCCTCGCGAGACTCGGTCGAGCGTGCCCCACCGGCGTTATGTAAGAGCAAACGCAAGGAGCTCTGCCTATTGATATATTAGCCTTTTAATCGATGATTCCGGTTGCGCGATAGAAAAGAGATTGATCGCGCTGCTTGCACCCATTTCATTCGGGGGAACGATAATCAATATGCATACAGCGACAGGATTACCGTCGATTTTGAATAAAAATGCATCGATAGCTTTGTATGGTACGTGTGCAGTGACAGCTTCGATTTCAACCCGACAGTTCTAATCCACTCCGCAAGCCCCGGCGATTCGGTCGACATGTAGGTAGATGCATTCGCTCGATCGGAATTCTTTTACGGCCCAGTTTGCATTTCACAATCTATTCCGAGTGAGGCATCGGCTGCGAAGGCATTTTTATCAAAGTGTCCTCCGGACGGCGCGCGCTGTCATCTATATGCATTACCAGTCGAAGGAGAGCTACAGTATTGTTTTGTCTACGTAGCACTTTAATACAACATGTCGCTCGTGTTATCAAGCAATCCTCTTTTATTTTCATTTATGGCTGCAGGCTCAAACCTTTTCACGGCACGTCTCGCATGTTGAAGCACGGGCAGCGAATCCAACTCTCTGCGATCGGTCCTTAATTATCGGAGTGAGTTAAATATTAAAATCCACTTAATAAAGCTTATTGCCGCCGGTATACAATTAACGAATGTAGCAATGATTATTATATAAGGTTTGACGACCCAACTGCCGGATGGTGTGAATTATTTGTCTAATCAAAATAAAATAGAGGAAAGTTCCCTATTACGAGACAGGATCCTAATATGGGATAGCGGGGTTTCTGTTAAATCGATAGGCACCATCGGTCGATTCCACCATGAATTTATTGCCCTTGGAGCGAAATCTGTTTAGTGGAAAATTTATTGTTGGATTATGTGATCGTTGCGAAAAAAGATTTGCGATTGAATTTGTGTGGCGAAAACCTGCTATCTCATATTAGAAACCTATCTCATACTAGAGAACTTTCCAATTGTTTACTTTTATTAAATACTAGACAACACAAGCGCGCGCCATTTGCTCCATCTAAAAATTCGCATGGTTTGACAAGCTGCAAACAACACGACTGACGCATGTCCTATCGCACAAGCGAGACAGCCAATCAGCATCTCGGAAAAGCGACAACAACACTTCGAGACTTTCGACTATCGACTTAACACGCCTTTTTTATATAGGAAAAGCGACAACAACACTTCGAGACTTTCGACTATCGACTTAACACGCCTTTTTTATATAGGAAAAATAACTCACGCCATCCGCCAGTTGGGTCGTCTAATAATCCTTTCTACATTCATTATTTATTTCTACAATACTTCCTTTTTTCAGTGAAAGAAATCGTAGTCCTTGTTTGTATCCGTTGTGACGAGTATCACGAGCGAGTTTTGATAAAAATTCGTACGTGGAGTAAATTAAGAATCGCGTAACTTTATTGTTAATGCGAATATTATCAAGTGAAGAAAAAACGATTTGTTAATTGCGCGCGCGTTTAAAGACACGTGCGTAAATAAAATCTTAATCATATTCGTGACCGCGTAATCTGTTAAAGAACTCACGGCACGCGCTACACACGTGTCTGGAGTATCTAATCTTAGCCGAATATTATTTTTATCGTATAAAATACTGACTCCATGGTCGTGCTCACAAAATTAAACCAATTATATTTTACAAAGTGCGAATTATCAAATATTATTATAATATATGCGACATCAGATATTTATGCGTACACGGAAAAAAGATGCTGTTGAATTAAGCGAAATGAAGTTGCTTGAATTAAACGTTAACGTCACGGGCTGCCACAAACACAAATAATTCACTCAATTGTATTTGCTATGGATTTTAATTTTAAGCATCGAACTAAATATCCAGATTATTAAGACAACAGCTTGATGTTTTTCATTTATTAATATTGACGTTTCAACGGTGCATCATTACATCATTCTTTTTCCCGTCTATGCATTGAATATAAGAGAAATTGGCACGGTATATCGTTCGAGCAAAATCTCGGTAACGTTAACGGAACAATATATCGCGCGGCAATTCCTTTTTGTTAATGCGATATAACTCTTACGTAATATCGATTCGATCGTTCGCACTCGCAGTGCGTAGCATGTGTTTGACAGGTGACGGCGCAATTGTTTGTCGTTAAAGGTTCGGCGAAAAAAATTCGGTGCCGTTTCCATTAAACGCGGCTACCCGCTGAACAAAAATTGCGCTTTTCCGCCAGCTGGTCGCCTGATATTAACAACGTAACAATGCGCACTCGTGAGATCTCTCTCGGGAAAAAAAAAGAGTGGATCGCGATAGACGCGACGCGAGCTACAAAATTGTTTCTATTCCAGTCGCGCGTGTCAACGCACGCACTTGCCCTTTGCACTTTACCGCGGGTTATCCGATCCGTGGGAAAATTAAGGCAGCGACCCGAAATTTTGACCCTATGTTGAACCGTAATTCTATTGTATAGTAGGACCTAAGACGGTGAAAGAGGTCGAACTGCAAGCACAAAATTTACTCCTACTTAAAAACCGATAGTGTCGGAAATTTCTACTTTTGCCAAGTTAGCATTAAAATTGAGGTAGGAGCTAAAGTAATTTTTTAGAATCAAAGATTCAAGGAAGGAGTAAAAAAATATAGTGTCATCAAAGTAGGTTATTGCTGATCTGTGCAGGTGGGTAGATCAGCTAAGTAGGTGTAAATTATCCTTAGAAGTGTCAAAATAGTGGCAAAATTTCGACACGGGAACGAGACGTAATCTGCCTTGCGATCTGCTCTTGAGGGAAGACACGTCGCTGGAAGAGATTCTCGATTGCCGCCCTCAAAACAGGCATCGATTACACTTACACGATTTTCATTCATAAATTAAGAGCGGCGCGATTATCTCGGTCGAATGCAAATGCTTAACGATGAAAATGCATGAAGATGCAAAGGGGACGGAAGTTTGCTAATAACGTCATCGACTTTGCTCCCGGCAGTTTGCGACACGTAAAATATCATTGACCGCGCGGTAAGCGTCCAATTACCGGTACTTTTTCCTCTTTTTTTCCCATGTATCGTTGTTATTTGAGCGCGACATGTCTACGGTATGCCAACCTTCCTCGCGTGGCGAAAATGGGAAACGTGGTGCGTTTGGTAAGGCACACGTGCATATACGCGACGGATCGAAACCGGGTTGAGCGTGGCGTAGTTAATCTAGGATAAGGGTTGTACATAAGTGCACATGCATGATACGTGGCGCTAAAGATCCGCCCGGCACACAGACGCGCATCCCGGGATTTATAGAGCACCGGCGGAATCGAGGAGCCCCGGGACTCCTGTGGGCCGGCGGATCGTAAACACGGTCGATTTCTCAAGCCGGTGGAATGCAAAGCGAACCGATCGGATCCGGCGTGATCTCCGGTAATTGTGACGCGGTAAGCAATCGTAGCCGTTAATATCGTCGCTGGGAGAGATCAGAACGTGTATCCGTAATATGAGAATTGCACGTAGAACCGATAATTATCTACGTTGCAGATTTTATCGAATTGATCGCTCACTGACGCGAAGGGTCTAGGACGAACTAGGGTGAACAATTTGAAACTGCATCCCTGCAAAATAAGATAATCAAAGTGTAAGACCTATTTTAGACGGTCCATAAATATAGAAATAAAATTACTGCATTGTCATATAAAGAATAATCTATTTATTATATATATCTGACATTTGCGCACATTACAAAATTCATTCGACAAAATAACCATTTTTCTCCAATATCGTTAAGTTACATAAGAATACATTGTTCCTCACAGTCGCATTACAAATCACGCGATATCGATGTCTCTTTAAAAAATTCGCAATACTTATTGATATTTTTAATACTACAACGGTGTACACCTAACGGTCTCGATGAATTGAGTCTCTTTTGTTGCAGGTAAAAAAAGAAACAAAAGTTCCACGTGTGCAGAAACTCCTGCTCCGATTTGTAATACTTTGCACTCTCGTTAGACACGGCATTGTTCCCATATATGTGCATATAAGAAATCGCGATAAAACTAAAAACGGCTAAAATATACATAAGACACGCGTAACACGCGCGCGCCATGCCTCGTTGGAATAATTAAAACTAAATTACCACAACGAATCAACAGCGGATATATATGTTTTACGTCACGCCAGTGAATTACAAGATGGAAATACCAAGGGCTCAGAGTAAAAATAAAGCTCCTGTCATATACTGAACGGTCAAACTGCGCTATATAACATACACGGTAGACATTCGGTGTTTCGTGAATGTTTTACGTTGACAGGTGCGCGATGGCGGTGCATGTACGAGCAAATCGTCCGCGCATCGCTACGCGAAGCAAATCCCGGCGTGGAACATACAGAACTGTGACATTTGCATTTCTCTTTACACATCTTTATATTCGCCCTACGTGCTACGATCTCCGCGAAACAATTAGGTAAAACGAGTCGCGATTCAGTTTTCTTTTCTTTTAAGTGACAGAGGAAGATATGGTAATATAGACCTCCACTTTGTCCTTTTGAGCAAAGTTTTTTTTTTAGTTATACCCCAATCTCTCTTGAAAGTATCGCAAATGGCAATTTATTAATTTAGGTTCAACAAAAGTACGTTTAAAATGAAAAAGATAGTTAAATGAAAAAGCAACTGTAACGTAAGTATCGATGTAGCCTTGAAGCTAACTAAAGCTAACGGTAAAGCTAAAGCTAACCCTCTTTAAATTGGTAAGGTGGGTCCGGGGCCCAACTTGCGAACGCATAAATTTTCTACGCAACTGCTCTTACATACACTTCATCAAGTTATTCCTTCCTGAGGCGAATTAAAATGTTGTTCCTTCACGAGGCGAGGTAAAATGTTCGCGAACACCGGAATAAAATATCAGACTTACGTGGTTTTACGCGCCGTAAGCCAAATCTAGAAAGTATATAATTTTTTTCTAAAATTACACGTATAAATTAATCTCTCGGCTCCAACGCATTCGGTATGAACACACTACAGCTGACACGCCGTATATTCATTCTTCATCATCCAGTTTCTTAAATCCGTGTTCGTTATCCATCAATTTGTTTTCTAAATGCTCGAGCAAAACAGGCTTCCTTTCTAGCTTTTTGGGCATCAAAACTTGGAGTGTTAACGCAACGCACAAGTCGTTGCAAAGTAGTTGCAGGTACTGAAAATTTCTTCACTGTTCTCTCTCTTTCTCTTTAGACTCATTTTTGTCTCGTACATGCATTCGGTGTCCGTAATCTCGACTTCCGTTTCGACTTTGGCGATAATGTGGTCCCCGTTATTTGAGAAACCACAAGAATTTGTAATGAAAAGCAACGCTCCGTAATGTGGACTGCAGGCCTGTAACACCAGCTTGTTGCGAGGCCTAATATATTATAATAGAAACGTTAACAAAGTTTCATTGTATCCCAGCGAGAACATATTCAACTTGCAATTAGTAAATGCTTGATAACTTATTTACTTTCGCAAAATAGGAATGCAGTTTGAAAATTAATACAGAGTACAAAATTGTCAATCGCGAACGTTATACCACATTAAACTGAACATCGCAGCTTGGACGCGCGTTGTAAAAGATAAACGTCAATTGTTAACAAAAAGAAGTCTCGCCAGTCGCGGTAGCGACTGTTCCGCAATTTCGGGAACTACGCTGAGAAGAAATAAAAAATCTCTCGCAAGAAACGGCGTTGCTTATAATGTAATTTTAAAAAGGGCCCGTGTTATCAGCGGGGCAGCCCACATCACTGCCTCTTGCCCTGTTTTCAGCGTCGCGCGAGTATCGCGATATTCGCGAGGCGAAAGATAACGCGCGAGGAAGATATATAAGTGTCGTAGAAATGCGACGGACCATCGGAGTTCCGATCTAGTTCCACTTAACACCTCGCGAATTGCACGCGCATGCACGTCGAGGAGATTTCGGAAGATTTCGAGATACCGTGGGAACACCGGGACTTTACCGGAAGATATTATAATCCTTCTCTTCCGCACGCGCGGGCGCGCGCGGATAAACGCGGGGAGTAAGACAAATGACGACGGGCGTAGCGGCAGCGACGGCGGAGGGTAAACAGTTACGGGGAGGAATATGCCGTGCTTATTCAAATCGCCGACAGATAAAATCTGCGAGCGTGCGTCGCGCCCGTTGTTGCGGCGAGCACGGCGGGATTTCGCAATTCCCCTCCTCCCCATCAATTGTGCGCGCCCCGTGTATTTTAGTCGAGTCTCGCGAAGGCCACCCCCTTTATCTCTGTCTGGCGTCACCGGGTGCATCTCGGGGCCGCCGCCGTTAGTAAACTTTTAAAAGCTATCGCCGCTCTTCCACGGAGAGAAAAAGAGAGAGAGAGAGACAGAGAGAGAGAAAGACTTAACGCGTCTTAGCGTTCTGCGCTGCTCCTCCGGCGTGGTGGCGTGTTAAGACCTGGAATTTCGCGAGTCCCGTTTGACTTGCCAATGTTCTCCGCCTCCCACACGGTGTCCGGAAGTTTCGTCCCTAAAGTTTCCGGGAAAATCAGGGACAGGACGCCCGCGATCATGCCCATGGACCCGAACAGGATGAGCGGCAGCGAAGGCATTATTTGCGCCTGAACGTAAACGAGGACACGTGTAATTAGCGAAACGTTGGAGTATCTAGTCCGGGGAACGCGCTCGCCGATCGATTTCTCAATGGTGATTGAGAACTTTATGCCGTAGGACGACTGCGCATATTGCACAATATTTTTCGCGCTTCACGTAAAATATATTAGGAAATACCGCTAATTTTTTAAATCGTGCAGTACCGGCCGAAATCATATCACCTTTTGACTCTTTGAGTATAACAAGTTTTGAAGTGCGTGAATGAAAAATTAAAAAAAATCATGGTGTACTTTGTCAAATTTCATTACCCGTCATGCGTGTAAAATTTTGAGCACATCCGATGCACTTTGACGAAAGTTGTACACAGAACACCGAAAGGTGATATAATTTTGACCGGTACCGTATGTCCACTTATCAAGTTTAAAAACACTGAAAAAAATAATCTTGCAACCGCAGCAACAGTTTTCTAGGCTGCATGCGATCGATTTAGATAACAAAAACCGACTTTCTATGTCAACTATTAGCGAATGTTAGGAAGTCTTTCGGTGTCGCCTACACTGAGAAAAATTTCCATTGGATAAACCAATTAAGTCATCTTTCCGATGGTTAATTTTTCCGATTACGTTTTCCGATGAAATTATGGATACCGGTGAAATTATAAAAAAAAAACAAATGCACGTCGACCCGCGGATCTGACGGATGCCGGCGACGACGCGCGATTCGGGAGACGCGGTCGTCGAGAGAGCATCTGTTTGCTGCGGACGCGCGTCTGTTGACTCACCAGGAGAGGCGTTTGCGGCGATAAGATTGACCCGACGCGGCCGGTCATGCTGCAAATTCCGAGCAGGGAGTGCCGGAGCGTCGTCGGGAACAGCTCCGCCGTGTAGACGTAGACGGTGGCGAACGCCATGGTGATGCACAGCTTCCCGGCCATGTATAAAAGTAAAGGCCCGTAACTCCAGGCTCCTGGAACGGGAGGGAGGGGGGCGTGCGATAAATCACGGGGATCGCGCGCAACGTGGCATAGCGGCCCCATTATAACCGACATAATTACGCGAACAACACGGTCGCGACTAAGCCGAACGACGCCCGGGCACGTAGCGCCCGTCGTCTCGACGCTCGGCTTTTTGCCCTCGGGCGCGGATTACACGCGTAACGCGCTACGCGCCGTTCATTGTAGCTCATATTATATTTTCGCGCGATCGTAAAACTCATATCGAGCGATTCTATTGAACTTTGCTGATTTCAACGGGAGGACACGCGCGTTCGCAGAGGAGGGACGTTCCCAGGCGGCCTCCAAATGCGCGCCTCTCGTTTCTCACGCGTGTCGATACGATACGATCTTGGGGGGGCGGCGGCAACGCGATTAAAGTATCAAGTTCTTCGAAACGTGACGCTAACGTTTATGCAAAACTCATATATTCATCCGCGATGAGAACGCGTAGGCATTAATGAACGCGAGCATTGTTTCAAAAGGGGACCTTTTTTCCCTCCCTTACTTTTCCGGCGCGTCTACGTTCTATCCTCTTTCGCCCGAAAATGGATGGGATGAGCATTTAAATGGCTCGATGATGAAAGGAATACGCGGCGGCGAGGTGCACGTTGACGGCACCGCGCCGTCATTAATGTTTCGAAAAATATCCCGAAATTCTCTCCTCGCGGGAATTTCTCTAGCGTAAACGCGATTCAACGGCTTTTCATAAGCGACCCACGAAACGAGGATCCATCCCTGTCCGGGGAAGCTGCCGCTTCCATTTTTTTTTTCTTCTCCTTTTATCCCTTTACCTTTCGGTATGAACTCGATTGCGAGGCAGAACGTTCCGCTCAGCAGGAACGCGCCGGAGAGCGTTGGTTTACGGCCAATGTGATCGGTCAGCACCCAGGCGAGGCAATACGCCGGTATCTCGACCACCGCGACGAGCATGAAATTGATGTACTTATCCCCGGCGAACGCCACGGAATTCAACGACAGTCCGTAATAAACGAACGTGTTCGTGAGCCAGCAGAACGAGCAGACCAACAGTCGAATGAGTATCACTGAGCTATGTAGAACCTGCACGATCGGTTTCTTCTTGTCCGATATCACCAGCTCGCTCTTCTGAAAGATCGTATCAATCACGTAGTCGCGCGGATCGTATGCAAATCGTGTGTAATATTTTACATTGACGCTCGCAGAGCCGCGCAAGAGCTGTTGACCGTACTGAAAACTGGGGTGAGACGATCAAATTCGGATCAGATACCAAACGCGGATCAACAACTTGATGAGTCGCCAATGAGCGACGTGAAAACACGTCGGTGCCGTTTACGATATCGGCAATATAGCATAAAGTTGTAAATATGTAAAAGAGCAAAATTCAAGTGAATTATTTTAAAATGTTGCCTCCCGGGTCGAGTATTTGATCCCGGGCCTCACTTATTTTATTCTGTCTTCATTTGGACCTCGGAGTCGGTTTGAAACTCCAACTTGAGGCCCAGATGGCCTAAAAAACTCAACATATTTTCTCCGACACAAAGACCTCGTTAAAAAATTACACGAGGCTAAACATTCGATGTGGCCAAAACATTCGACTCGGGTTTGGGCCTCGAAGTCGGTTTGAAACTTGAGGCCCAGATGAGTAAAAAAATTATTTTTAACCACCTTCTAACCCTCAAAGAGAATGCAATAAAATCTTTCACCCTCTTTGAAACCTCTTAGGCCGAAGAGGATTTACTGATACTTACTCTGTTCATTACATTCGCATTGGCCTCTTTACTGTTAAAAGGGAAATAGCGATACTATTCAGTATCTGAGGCCAAAAGTTCAATATATTTTCTCCGACACAAAGACCTTAGTTTGAACTCATTGCTCCCAATTCAAAAGTGATACGAGATTTAATTGAGACCAAAATATTCGACTCGGGTTATTAGTGACTCATCAAAGTTTTAATCCGCATTTGGTATCTGATCCGAACTCAGTCACCTTACCCTACGACAGTTGAAAACACGTACCTCTTCGTCCTTAGTTGTGTTTAACTGCTTGAACGCAGTGATGGCCTCGTCCGTTACTTGCAGGCCGTTCATTCGGGCCATTTTACGGTATATTTTCTCCACTTCTTCGTGCTTGCCCCTTGACAGTAGCCACCTTGAAAATGGCATCGGTTGTGCGAACAATTATCTCGCGGACGGAGGAATGAAAGGAATTCTACTGTGTATAAATATTACTTAATAAACTCCGTTCAGTCATTTGCTAAAAAAACCCCGGCATTGAAGTAGTCAACGATTCCAGCTAATCACTCCATCTTTCAATGCAATTAAATTACTCTCGGCTGAACTCGCGATAGACATCCAAGAATTGATCGCTCACGTAATCGAACAAATTGCAGATAACGTTCGCCAATTGCAAAATCTCGCTAATCGATCAAAAGTGATGTCTCGGCGATACGCGAGTGCTCATTAAATTTAAAAAGCATTACCTAACCGACTCTGGAATGAGCAGAGGCAGGAGAATGGCCAGCAATGCCGGGCCGTACACTACTCTAAGGAGCGCTCGCCAAGATCTTAGCCAACTCGCGAACAGTCCCAGCAAGATCTCACCTACGGCGAACATCCAGCTGAGGATGGTGCTCCCGAAGACTCTGTTTTTCATCCCTACCGTCTCCATTCCTGAGAGCGAAAAACCGGTGTTTAAATTACTGCAGAATCGCAATCCCACGTAACGCGTGGGTTACGCTGGGAAGAAACGCGAAATAAACACATCTTATATAATACGTCATTTTTTATGCGATTTATCGGTAATTATTGATACAAAAAGTGAACGCGGAGAGATACCTGCGTATTCGCGCGACACACGAGTGCGTCGGTGATTAGAAGATCTCGCGATCAACGAGACGGACTTTTACACTTGAAGATAATCCCGAATCTCTTGAGATCGTCTACGATAAATTTGCCATTCGATGTTTCGTGGACGTCGTTTTGATAAAAAGTTATCGATCAACGATAGACAAATGTCAGCAACCGATGCAAAAGAAGAAGCGCATTTCGCCAACCTTTCGTGCCGTCCCGGGCCGTACGCTAAGCGAGAAATGCAATATTGTCTTTTTCTGCCCGTTCGTTTCCCGCCGGTATAATCTCGACGAATTTCTGAGCGATAGCTTATTATCTTTCGCACGGCTCGTTGGCTTTACATTTCCCGGGGCATGGCATGTTTTGTTGCGCGGGAGCGTATTTTCGTAGAAATGCGTGTCGCATAAAGCTGCAACTATAATTTTAATGAACGGCTAAATAAACACGCGGTAAATCCGGAATAAATAACTCGAAAATATCTACGTTACGCTGCGCGGTGTATTTGCATTCCAAACGCGAGTAAAGAGCATTGCATCGAGAATTCGCCCCGCCGTCCGCGAACACCATGCAATAGGACAGGCACGACACGGCGCTTACAGGTGTCGCATATTTTTGCACCCCCCCCCCCCCGAGCATATTTATTGTCCCGTTATTAACGCACCTAAAATAAATCCCGCGCTGTAAATTCCCGCCGCCATGGTGGCATCGAGAAATTCGAATGCGAGAAACATCCAATAATTCACGGAGAAGGAATGTATCAAGCCACTGACTCCAGCCAGAGACGTCGCCAGCGTCAAAAAGGTTCGTCTCCCGTATCTGGAAATAAAAGAGTGAAACGCGGATGCTGCGCGCCTCCCGTTGTCCCGGCAAAGCGAATTTCTGCCGTGCCGCAATGCGAAATTCCTCGCGACGTCGCGGCGGATACGCCGCGGCTTTCTTATCGAGAGCCCGCGAGATCGACGGGGAGCGGAAACATTGTTACGGATTATATCTCGCATTACGTAAGTCCGCGCGTATTCTTTTTAGGAATTTTAATCGCGCAACCGATCGCGATTTATCCTCGTGTATTGCGCGTAAAGAAACGCGCAACGGCAGAAACATTGCGCGGCGGATTATCCGTACGAGCGTGTCTAACGCGCACGCAAGGAAAAAAGGTGTAAAAATAACTTCAATGAATTTTTAGACTCTCTAGCGGAGTTATTATCGCGAGGAAAACTAGCCTGTAAGAAAATAATAGCCTTTGGAGAGTGCGGTAGCTTGAATTTATCGCGCGTGCGTGTCATCTCGCGCAGGTTACGTCGCCGTGGTAATCTGGCACAAATATAACTCTAGATTTTATTGTGTAATAGCTAATTCCTAAATTAGCCGATGTACCGTACGATACAATGAAATTTAGAACTATAATAAAATTTAGAAAAATTGTTAAACGACACACTGTCGTTTACCAATTTTTCTAGATCGGTTAATCATGTACTGGCGTCAAGTAATTCTTTGCGTTATAATAAAATTATTGCGACGCTAACATCCCGTCGCGGCTCTTAGCCCTTTGTTCATTTAAATGTGCATTCATCACACGCGAGCCTTGTGAATTTTATTGATTTCCCGAGTATTCAGTCCCGGAATGGGCCTCAATTATTCTATTCCGTCTTCATTTGGACCTCGGAATCGGTTTGAAACTCCAATTCGAGGCCCAGACGAGTAAAAAAAAAATTGTGTTTAACCTCATTCCAGCCCTCAAAGAGAATTTAATAAAATATTTCACCCTCCATGAAACCTCTTAGGCCGAAGAGGATCTACCGAACCTCTGTTGATTACACTCTCACTGGCCTCTTTACTGCTAAGAGGGAAATAGCGACTCTTTTCTCTCTGAAAGCCAATCAGTGGGTTTTCACTGAAAACAGTGAATGGTCACTGATTTACAGTTACAAGTATACCACTGCGATTTTCAATAGTGTACTTATAACCGGAAATTAGTGACCATTCACTGTTTTCAGTGATAATCCACTGATTGACTTTCAGAGAGTTCAGGCCTATCTGAAATCAAAAAATTCACTATATTTTCTCCGACACGAAAATTATGCGAGGTCAACATATTCGATTCGGGTTGTTAAATCTAGAATTATATTTGTTTCTTTCCTTCGCAGGACGTATAGATAATAAATAACACGCGACGGCGTCGCCATCCGCGACGAATGCTAATTATGGAACATTTTGTACGAAGTTAATTAATTAAAGCCCCAGAGATATTGCGCTGTATCTCTCACCTATCGGATATGTATCCAGCGAACATCAGGCCGACGAACTGACCGGCGTTCTGTATCGTGCCGACCAACGTGAGTTTCCATCGATTAGCGTCGCAGGTAATTTCCCACTGCATCGGGATGAACCGAGGGAAGAGGGGAAAAGAGAAAATGAAAAATCCGCCGCTAAATCTCGGCGGGTGAATAATATATGCGGGGCCGATTATCGCGAGCCACATTACCTCGTTGAGTATCGTACGCTCGTCCGGATCGTAAATCCAAGAATCGCAGCCGCGAGTAACGTTGGTGAACGACGCCTCCGTGCATGTGTCCGGGTGGTTGTCTCGCACCACGTAACGCTCGCAACCGGAAATAACCCCGTCCTTTTTCGGCGCGGAAGCGTTGAACCAGGGCGGCTCCAACGTCGTGTTCCCCGCATTCTCGCACTCCGGCACTAAACATCTATAACGTTTAAACACAGTTGCTTTTTCGTCCACTTCCTTGACTCCCACTCTCGCGGCTCGAGTGCCGGCGGCCGGCCGTGTTTTGCAAATACACAATATTTGAAATTATGTATCTCGCGCACCCACAGAAAGAATTTCCGAATCCAACACTGAGAAAAATGTCCGATTAAATATAATCGGATAATCCAATTACATAATAGCAAACGGATATATCCAATTAAATTGTATATCCGGTGAAAAATATGATCGATTTTTCAATCAAATCATTTCATCGGTAACTGCATTTCATCGGATGTATCCAGAATTTAATCGGAAAACGAAATCGGAAAAATCCACCATCGGAAACGCTACTTAATTGGTTAGGTTGCTATTGTATAATACATAATGCTATTACATTTCAATGTATCATAAAATAGGATCGATATGGCGCTAATCATATTTCTTATAGAAAGAGGAATATTTTAATCTTAAATGAAAAATTCTAAAATCTAGAATAAAATGATAGAATGTATCATCTTTTGTCGAATATCGCGGTGCCAACTTCGTGCGTTCTAAAATGGGGGGGAAAATTTATTCTAAACGCAAGGATATATAAACTTACATTTATACAAGTTACTCCCGTCTCAATACAGTGAGTCGATCTTTTTTAATTCGATAGAGGAGAACAAGAATTATTGATTTTATTTGGATATTGTCTGATTTTTATACTAAACGAGGTTGTGAGAAATATAAATGCGTCAGGAATATTTTTTGTCTCGGTAACAGAGATCCTTTTTGAGGGTGCGCTGCGTGCGCGCGTAGGCGAAAGTTCAAATAATTAGCGAAGACGCACATACGCGTACCTGTATTTCACCTCGCCCGCGGTAAACACGTAGGAAAGCGTAAAGCCTGCCGTTAGCATCAGCGGCACGCTAATAAATGCGAACATCGCCATCTGGTAAAATCCAAATCTTTCTATGTCGTTCCCCGCTGGCGGTTCTTTCGTAGCCCCTAGAAAAATGAATAAAGATTTGGCTGTACGATCCGCGCCTTACGATTAAGAAGTCACAACGGGAAGTCATATTACGCCATTACGTTGAATCGCACCATTTCGAAATATTAAACCAACCGAGAAGTACATATATCTGCTTGTCATGTAAAGCTTATCGAACGAATGAAGATTCGGTCGTACAATCTGCTCCCTAAAAGTCGATCAGTGGATTATCACTGAAAACGGTGAGCAGTCATTTACAGTTATAAGTATGCCAGTGTGATTTTCAGTGGTATATTTATAACAGCAAATCAGTAACTGTTCACTGTTCTCGGCGATAATACACCGATTGACTTTCAGAGAGTGCGCTTTTCGACTACGGGAACATAACGGGAAAAGCAATGTTATGCAATTACGTTAAATCGCATTATTTTCAAGCATCAAATTAATCGAAAATATCTCGTTATCGTATAAAGTCCGTTGAGCGCACGCGACGAAAAAGTTTCGTAATTACTCCGTAAAAGTCAATCAGTAAATTATCACTGATAACAGTGAATATTCACTGATTCGCAGTTAGAAGTATAGCGCTGAGTTATTCAGTTGCTATACTTACAACTGTTTTCAGTGATAATGCACTGATTGAATTTTAGAGAGTGCGCTTTTCGACTACGGGAACATAACGAGAAAAGCCACGTTATGTAATTACGTTAAATCACATTATTTTCATGTATCCAATCAATCGAAAATATTTATTCATTATATAAAGTTCATTGAACGCACGCGACGAAAAAATTCCGTAATTACTCTCTAAAAGTCAATCAGTAAATTATCACTGATAACAGTGAATATTCACTGATTCCAAGTTAAAAGTATGAATTCAGTTGCTATACTTGTAATTGTTTTCAGTGATAATGCACTGATTGACTGTTAGAGAGTATGTACGGCCAATGTTTTTATTTTTTCTTATTGTACGTAACACAAGTATAATTATACGACACACTTAAGCGTCTAGGAAACAGCAAGTTATGCAATATTGAATAATTGGGTATCTGGAGTCTACAGCACAATTACAGCGTAATCTGTGACATCTCTTTAACAAGCTGGCGTCCATTGTACGTGTACACACTATACATGTACACTTGGTAATTTAATGCCACTGCTAAGCAGTGATACTTAAACAACGCTAACTGGAAGAATAATCCGGCTGGAAATATAAGCCCACCTTAATCGTCTCTTCAAACGGCTCGCTGTGTGCATAAGACTTCGTACAATTCGCCTGTGTTATGCAAGATAGAGCCGGGCAACATTTATCACTAATTCGTGCAAATGCCCTCGAAAATTAAGCGAAAATTTAAATGACAAACAAGATATCTTTTTCGCATTAAGTCGGAACTCGCGCGAGAGCGTTAGTTAATTTCTGTACGGATTAACACGCTTTATTCCGCTTTATTCGTTGCGTTGTGCAGAAAGCAACTTTGAAACGTTTGGCAAATGCAATAAACTATATTAGTAAAACGCGGATATTTGCATTTATATTTGCCGCCTTTAGATTCAGGTCTATCGCTGGCACAACGTCCGACTTAAAAATTGTTACAGTACGGGCCAATAATATATCACCTTTCGATTCTTTGAGCATAACTAATTTTCAAGTGCTCGAATGAAAAGTTCGACAATCATGATTCACTTTGTCAAATTTCATTACCTTTCGCGTACAAGATGTACCTCTTGTCAGGTGTCTACTGTAAAATTTTTGAGCACATTCGGTGCACTTCGACGGCAGTTATGCTCAGAAAACCTAAAGGTGATATACTTTTGGCCGGTACTGTATGCGATTGCCCTACACTTGAAAAGGACCGGAATTCACGGTCGAAACGTTGCGTTTTTTTTTTTAATAAAGGAACATTTTTACCAGTTACGCCGACGGCTGTTAAATGAATCGTTAGATGATACTACACGGTAAAAAATAAAATGTTGACGTTAACATTTTCGGCGTGTTCCCAAAAGTCCGTTCTAAATTTTAAGTTAAAATAACATCTACCGCGTGTGTTACTTTTTGACAAATTATCAATGTTAATTAATCAACACTATACTTTCGACCTTAAGTGTGACGTAATAAAAGCAGACAGGATAAGTAAACCGTACGAACAGTTGCAAATCAGAATAGTTGAAATAATTTTTAGGAAATGTCGATGTTACACGGTTTCGGTTGATTTTGCGAAATAGAGTTGTGTTAAAAGAACTGAAAATGACATTCAATTTTTAAATGACGTACATAAAGTGTCGAGTTATTACGTTAACATAAATATAACACATAAAAGTGTTACGAAAATACTAACATGTACGTTTTATGTTAATCTTACATTGAAGTGAGGCTCAAATCTTGGTAACACGAGAAAAATTTTACATTTGGACACGCTATTTTTTTTTTACCGTGTAATAAGCGTATAAAGCGCACTCGTTTCCATTTCATCCTTTTCTTTTGCTATAAATCGTAAGATATGTATTTGAGGCGTTCTAATATTTTCACGCTCGTCGTACGTGTCTTATTGCAGCGCATTTTTATTACAGCGAAATTTTTCTCCATTGAAGATTATTCCTCCGATAGCAGAGATCGTCCTTGCATTTCCATTTTACGATTACGTCAACGTGCGAGCATTATTCGTACCATTTTCCGGCGCCGACCGCAGCGGGTCAGCCTCGTCCTTCCTTGAGCAGCACAGCCGCATGCTGTCGTCTTTTACGTCCCGTAAGCTGCAATCATATTCGGAATTTATACCATTTGCCGGGAATCGCCGCCGCGACGGCCGATCGAAAGTTCAACCTGGCGCTTTATGTTTCAAGTTTCCCGGGAACATCGCGAATGAAAAATGATGCCAGTCGCGCGCGTCGGACTTGGGCGGGCATTACATAAAGAAACTGGGATCAGTTCGCCGCGCGAAGGCGGCTACAGAAAGCTTTTCCCCATAAAAAGCGCCGGAAGGGGGAGAGAGAGAGAGGAACTGCCCTCGGAAACGACTTCTCCGCCGAGCAGCCGGAGCTATCCCGGCGGTATATAAACAACGCATGCATATAACGACGATGTTGCAGGTGCCGGGAGTTAGCGGTCCAGCGGCAAATAACGCAAAAAGTACGGCGCATTAGAAACAGAATTATCAGAGCGTAATAATTATTGAGGAACCGAAAAAGGAAGCGTAAAGCTGTGCGCGATGTGAGAATACGCTACGTGTTTCGCGGCGATACGGTGCGGAATGATAAAACACAGATCGGACAATCGCTTTGTACCGGAGTCCCGCGTCGGTCTGTTCTCGGCTTTCCAATTTGCGAGAGCAACGCGAAATCATCGTGCACGTGTGTGCGTGTGTGCAAACGATTACCGTGGAGAGCGTTATCGTTAAAAAAAAAAAAGAGGAGCATCTTTGCAAACACCGAACGCACAATAAATCTGTTTTACGGAGACTTCTGCCGTCAGATAATTTAAGCGTGCATTTTAACATGGAGATTTGCGGAGGCGCAACTAACGAGCCTCGCCTGCCCGGCCTCTGTTGTTCCGCGAGAGAAAAAAGGGCGTGCGACCAAATGACGCGTTTCTAAAGAGTGTAGAAAATAAGTGTTGTTTAATAAGCAGGTAATTGCGCGAGTGTTGGAGAAATGCCGGGAGAAATTCCGCAATTCCTTGCCGAAGGTCTGCGTGCTGACCTCTCGCAAGCACGCGGTTAACTTCTACGTGTGGCACGTGGTTATTGATCTCCCAGCGGCACCGGAAACCGGAAAACCGCCGCGCACGAAAGGGGGAGGCCGAAAGGAAAATCGGGACGCCGAACTAGATAAAGTAATCTTCCAATTGCGCCAGATCGCCGTGCTCGAAACAAAGTAGCAGTTGTGCCATTTATCCCATTGCGTCACGAGATACTGTTTTAACCATGCCGAGCGGTGAAATGCGGCAAAGGGAAGTAACCGCCGGGGCGCGTATTTCGGCCTTTACGGTAGCATCCCATCGCGAGGTCGCATTTAAACGCACGTCCCGCGAAAGTCTTCGGCGAAGTTTGTCCATTCTCGCGATTTACGCGCGACAGCCATTGTTTCCGTGAAAACGAGGTTTACGAGCGCCTAGACAATGTTAATAAATTAATGGAGCGTGCCCTGATATTCCGATCATTACCCGCGCGAGGTGGCCCGAGAAAGTTTCCTCCGTGAGCCAAATGGTCTAAGGTAATCTCGAGGACGTCGAGGTGGTTTACGTTGCCTTTAGAATGCGCGCCGCGAGAGTGAGGCGACGGAATGAAATGCTAGTGCCACGATTTTTTTTCTCCTACGCCCCCTTAATTCGCGAGCGGGTGGTCTGCGATTTCGTACGGATTCTAAATACGATATCGCGATAATGGACGCCTAAATGCCGGGAGGTAACGAGTACTTGCGAATGAATTGTGGGATAAGAACGGTTTTGCGTCTTACTAGGATAATTTTATCGAAATCATTACGTATAATTCAGTTCAACTCGGAACTTTATAACGCGCGAACGTGCTCGCTTAAGTTAAAATAATTTTCCTGCCGATTTCCTGCGTTGGCAATGACATGAGTCTGCTATAATTTATGCTCTGCGAACATATAGATATGCACGGGGCAACTTTTACATATGTACACTCTTACTTGTAATTTGTAATTTCTTACCACCTTGAAAAAAAATGCGACATGTTGGTTTGCAGTTCGGTTATTTGATAAGAACCTGATACTTGGGTCGAAACGTCGTACCAAAATGTAACATTTAACTAATATACTGCCAGTTGGATCAACAAGAAGTTTTATTTCAATCACATTACAATTATTATATGTAATAATGTATATAATAATTGTAAAATTACAAACGTACCGGGACCAGGGTTGGAAAAGTGACTTTATAAAAGTATCTAGTTGCAGTTACAAGTTACAATTCTGGAAAGTAACGCGTTACGGTTACAGTTGCTCGGAAAGTAATGAAACGTTACTTGGCAGCTATTCTTTTTGCGATGAAAATTAAAATATCAACTCTGCATTTGAATTGTAAAGCGTCGATAAAGACGTTCACGCGCAAATGCAAGGCCTAATGCGATAATCTGTGGAGGTTTGAAATACATTACGCAAACTCCGACGGGCTTATCTTAAAAATTAATCACGAGCCAGTTCTTCGTAGAATTCCCGAATATACGTTAAAGAATGTATATTGATAGATTAAAAGTTACGTTTATCGAGTTGTCGCACATTCCGCTTTTACAACTACTGCCCCGTTTCATCTATTGCGACATTAGTAGGCATTAGAATAATATCGGGACACGCGAGAATTAAGGAAGGTTATTCCATGTCAACCTGTCTCTGTTTTCGTAATTTTAGGCCGGTATTCATAGTCCGTTCTTACATTTAAGATCTTAAGTATAATCTTAATGTGCTTTTAACTAATCGCAGAGCCGTATTAGCCTCTGAAGACAACACTTAAGATGAATTTGAAACAAGAATCGGCTACGAATACTCAGCTCGCACAGTTTCCTCACGTGCGTGTACAGTTATCACAACAGCACCGACATTCCGGCGTATAAATGCGTGCAGAACACGTACTTTTGTACATTGTAACCGATAACGGCGTTGACTATCGATAAATTATACCACGTCGTACGTCTCTTTTTCTCTCTCTCTCTCTCTCTTTCCCGTCTCGTATCGCGTCCACTCGCGTCTCGTGAAGGGACTTACGGAGGCGACGTTTACGATCCACGCTTTTATCGCGGTCCAGGAGCGAGAGAGCGTTTTCCGCGCGCGTATCCTTGTCCGGGCCGTATCTACATATTCTATTACCTTAAAACGGAGCGCTCAAGCCCGACGTCCGTCACGTGTACGGGCGTACGGCCTTCTAAACGTCGTAAAACCTGTCTCCGCGCGCGCGAGACACGGGCCGCATGGTACACTTTTTGCTCGTCCGCACGGGCGATCGCCGATAAGCGAATTAATGAATCGCCGCCGCCGCTTGACACCCGCTGGACCTCACGCGCACCTGCCTGCTTCTGTCCCGCAAAGGCACCAAGTACTGTTTCCTCGAAGGTAAACGCATTCCGCGACGGTGGCCAGCACGATGTTTGGGACGAGTGGGGGACGATCAAACAATCGGTGGGGGAATAACGATTCATCTCAAAGTTGCGAAGAAACGAGCGCGGGGACCATTTAACGGATATGTATCCCCCGATCGAACGGACGATTCCCCTACGCGTGAGTACCCGGGAAGTCCTCGGAGAGGACTTTTCAAAGTACGCGAGGTGAGACGCGGCAGCAAGAAGACAGCCAGCGCGCGTCAATATTATCGTGTAATAATAAATAGGTTAATATACGGAAGATATCGGACACCTGCGTCGTCTGAGAAACATCGCGGTATAATAGTTCCAAGTATACCAGTTTCATTTATTATACAAATCGTCTTCTAGGTGTTCGGGGGCACCTAAATACGGCCGATACTCGCTCATTAATGAACACTCGAAGCCGCTGCTCCAATTTACGCTGCACGCTTCGTCTCTCTCGTCTGAGGTACGATCGGTGAATTATAATGTATTATTAGTGTACGGTTTGTAAATACCCCGAAAGCAGCCGTGGCTCAGTCGCGAGTTTCCGCCGGGGCGATCCTGCTGCTCGATATGTCGGGAATTTAATATACGCTATTTCTGCGCGATGCACAAAATATACTCGGGTTGGATAGCACGTGCTGCAGCCAATTTCGACAGAAAGAGAGAGAGCTTTTGACATACGCGCTGTATCGTGCGTCCCGCACTCGTGCATTAATTAACGTGGCGCACAGATCCGTTGGTATCGAAAGTCGGGAAGGATATTTTCGACGTTACCCAGTATATTGAAAGGAAGAAATATCATTTCGTGTACTTAACTGGTTTCAACTAGCCGGCACCGGCCCGCGTCGCCTGTCTCGCGCGCGCAGTATGGGAATTTACTATAACGTGCGAAAGCAAGTGCAAAAAGAAACGAGCGCCGCAACAAATATAATATAATTTCTGACCACCCACGACTTCTTCGCGAAATTCTTCGCGAAGTAATTCCCGAGTGTCTGTCGTAACTTTTTTTAACAGCATCGTTTCAACACTCGGACGATTGCTGACAATTGAAATTTTTATGCGTTTTGCCCATCTGCTAAATCAGACTGAATTCATTTCTGCAGATAAAGACGTTAAGTGGGAAAAAAAACGAACAGAACGGTTTATGTGTTAACGATAATCTAAGCCATATCCTACATAGATAATGCTATTTTATCGCAATGTATATTTGATCGGGGAGTACGGTTGCGATGTTTTATATGTGTAACAGATTTTTACAAGAGATCTCGCACACGAACAATTAGAGAGACACGTTCGCAAGTCGTGGCGTAATACTTATTATTATAAGATGTAATCACAGGCATCACCCGTCACAGGAAAGTAGACCTTTTCCTCAAATCGCGCCTCAAATCTTCGATACGTTATCATACGTCGTTATAGATAAATTTTCCCTATAGATAACTAATGATATTATGATGATTAAACCTACGAGAGATTAATAATCGTCAAAACGATTCCGAATATCGCGAATTTAACTACACGCAAGAGAGATTTGCGTTTATTAAAATATTGCAAATCTGCTAAGATTATATTGTTAAATTCGAATTAAATTTTTGACAATACGAAAATGAAGACACCCTCTTAAATGGATCAATATCTTATCACTGCACTGAGAAAAAGGCCCCGATTGTATCAGCAAGATATGTGTATGTATGATAGAACGTATTTTGGTCAAACCAAACAGAATTTCCAGTTGTCACGATAAGGCTCGATATTTCATAACCAGAAGTTTGATAGACTTGACTACACATCTAGTGAATCCTAAAGGAATTATGATTCGTCCATTGTTTAACAGACGACTGATTGAATGTACCAGATTTCTCATTAATGCAACCAGATTTTTGTTCAGTGTGGCAGTGAGAAGCAACGAAAAGTATAGCAGCAGTTATAAGTACAGTACTACATTCAATGAGATCTCGCTGGAGAGAATCAGTTAGTGGCGGATCCAATTAATGATATTAGACTGCTGGAGAACAGTGGCTATAAAGAGCAAGCCGAGGGGTAAACCGCTGAGGGCATCGTGGTGTACAGATTTGCAGCATTGCTGGCCATTACTACACTGATAAAAAATATCTTAATCCAGAAAAATATTACTTTACTCAAGAAAATTATTCATTAAGTGGCTCCTAATAGCTTATTGACTGTGCATTCTTCACCGCATTTATCACGCGGTGATATGCCAGTAATGTAATTAATGATATTAATAATTGATATTACACCGAATAGAAATTAAGATTTAAATATATTGAAGTACATGATAAGCTTCAACGGAGCCAAAATCACGATAAGATCGCCATATGTACTGTTACGTATGTCACAAATCCTACTGCGAATTATCCAATTGATAATTCAATTTGATAAAAACTTTAATTACTTAATTGATATTTAAGATCGTACAGATATTTCTCTCATATCACCAATTGTCATATAATTTAAATGATGTTGACCCGATTTGAAATTAAATTGCAATCTCCAGCGAGAAAATGGATTGCACGTACGCACTGTACAAAAATTACAAGTAAAATTACAATTATTATAGTGGGCAATGTTGGGACCATCTGTTAAAGATGTATATTTACATACATCAGCAAAACTCCTTGCAAGTAAAATTATTACCTTATGTAATAAAACTGCTTGTAACTTCGTTACAAGTAACGAGTTACTCCCCAACAGTGATTTTTGTCTTACACACCTGTTTGTGCCATTACGTTTTTTTTCGCTATTTATGTTTATTGCTTAGACGACAAATTGATCATTTACACGCCGTCCTCGAGTCGAAACGGAAATGGATCGTATTCGATTGCCTCCTCGTGACTACTCTGAAAGTCTATTCCCTAGTATTTGCAGATTCCTGTTTAAATAATAAGATAACAATATAGCTACAGGTGATATTGGGTAAAAGCGATCGACTATGCGAACTCGACACGCCGGTGTCATTATCCAGTGACAAACAAGATGTTTTGCCGGGGGGCTCATCTCATATTGTGCCGCACTTTGCGCAAACGTTGCTACGGAAATATTGTAAGCGCGCTGTGACGCGTGCTTACGAGGGAAAATTAAAAAGGGGATTTATTATGTGGGGGGGGGAGCTGCGCTTAAGGACGATTTACGAGCGGCGTTGAAAAGACCATTTTTCCACGCAATATCTTCATACCTAGTCTGCACTATCTTCTCCTCTTTAAAGCAATAAAATTAGTTCTTATCGTAGACAAGCGCGAAGTTGTGCCGATCAACCTGCGTGCGTACCAAACAGTAGCACTTGATTTATGATCTCGTTTTACAATATATGGCTAACACAATTGTAGGACGAGAATTAGTCGTAAATTCTAAGATAATAAAACAAGAGGGAAATTAGATTGCGTGAACTGCTCATCGCTTAAATTACGTTTCCATACATTTCGCCTCGCATATGAAAGAACAATAGAATTCGTCCGCAGTTACGAATACTCTTTTGATCTGAACGTGAGAGAATGATTGCAATGCGCGCGTCGGTAACGAAAATATGACGAGATCCAAATGAAATAAGGCCTCAAGTGTGACCTCGGTCCGAGCCAATGCCAGTGTTCATCATGCGAGACTTGAACTGGTTACCGAACCTTGGTCGCTATAGATATACGTGTCGCGGCAATGAACCGCGAGAGAAACATACGTGATGGGTTTAATGAAAAGGCGAAACAAAGTGTGAATACTAAACGCGAAAGTACCGCGAGAGAGTTGTAGTAAATGATTCATCGCAATCAAACTTTGTACATGATGATATTCGTTTCTCTTCGTCAACAAAAGTCTCGGAAGATTATCTCCATTTATCGCGCTCTCACGCGCACATATCTGTGACATTTTCCGTTTTCGGTATCTTCCAAATTATGTTAAATATAGTGTAAATTTAATGGAATAAGCTCGACTTGAAATTAAACAAGTCTACATCTACTTCTTATTATTCGTTGAGCTTAATGTACGAAAGGCTCGTTTTTAATTATTTTTAACGCGCGTTGCGAACGCTTCGACATGTTTGTTAAAGAAGCGCAAATGTGCGAAATCCCCTGCAATTTCCAAATTGCTCGGTGGAAATTTTATCAATAAAGTTTCACACGCCAATGTTTCACGCCGCTTGCGCGACACCGTATAACACTTTGCATACACCAATACACATAAGTATTGACCTAGACATTATCTTAACGGCGCGCAGCTCAGTTCTGAACTTGGTTCGGCGTGTACTTGCTGCTCTCCGCGTTTGAATATTTAACTTGCATTTTATGCAAAACCAACATACATCGGCGTTGATGGCTATAATACAGTATATTACGAGTTTATGAATACATTGGTAAGAATGAGATTGTTAATCGCTTTGTATACACGAGGAAGCGGATTTCAAATTTATAATTTTGCCGTCTCTTTATATTATAATAATGCAGCCCCCCCCTCTCTCTCTCTCTCTCTCTCTCTCTCTCTCTCGTCGGTCGAGCGTTAACAGGGAACGGGAGTGTTTTTCGCATGCGGCAAAATTGGTTTGATATTTTTAACTCTGTAAAATTGTGCTCTGGGGAAAATGCCGACGTAAAATTGGCGCGCGACCGGTCAATTTAATGATATGTTTATTCGTTTACGTTCCGATGCACGTAGTTCGATGCCCCTCTTTGATATTTTTACGCAGCAGCGCGCTGTTTCGCATCTGTTTGTTTCGCCGCATAAAGTTACAATCCCGTTTAATGCGTTAAATTTAGAAATTGGCCGAGGCACTCCGCATACGCGCTACTTTGAAAGTGTACACGGTATTTAAATCTAATTTAATGTACATATAAACGCGAAGATAGATTTTTACGCGTGTATTGGCTTCCGCAGCCTCTCTGTACAGTAACTCGCGAAACCGATCAAATGTGGTACACAACAATTATCCACGGCTGACTGATTCGAACCAAGCGATCGACGAAAACACCGAATTTCAATGCCCACGTAACGCACAAATATCCATCGTATTTCCAATGAACAAACAAATATCCATGATCTTGCTACGGGTATCTTTTCAAGAAGTTCGTAACAGTAGTACGATTTGATCAGTTTAATGAGTCACTACGCGGAGGGAGTTTTCTCTGAAAATTTATCCTGAAAATCGTGCAATCGTGGGACAACGTGGCATTTCGAGGAATTTTATGAGTTTTTTTTGAAATTTTATACATTTTACTAGTGATTGTACTTAGTATACATTTTACTAGTGGAATGTATGGTAAAATTTCGAAAAACTCTCATAAAATTCTTCGAAATGCCACGTTGTCCCATGATTTTCAGGGTAAATTTTGAGAGAAAATTCTCTCCGGGTATTATATCTTATAAATTATTGTCTTGAAGTAATATTATAAGATATAGAAATAGATATTAAAACTTTGATATATCAAACTTTCTCGCATTTACAAACACATATTTGACTATGACATCAATTATAATATTATTGTTGATAACATTATTAATAAATAATAATAAATAATAATATTTAATAATATATAATATTATTAATAATAATAATGAAATATAATGATAAGCTGTCTCTTGGCACTCTCCTCTCCTATCATAATTATTAGATATTATTACTATTAATATTATCAATAATAATTATTAATAATAATATCTAATAATTATGATAGTAGAGGATAGTGCCAAAAGACAGCTTATCGTGAATCGACGGCCGTTAACTTATCAAGTAAGATTAAATAAAAACAAAACTAAAGAAGGTAAGAATAATACAAGTAAGTCGCAATCACGTTCGTCAAGTATCTAATCTATACCACTAGCTCCGTATCTTATAAATTTTCTATTTTAGCACGTGTCTGCGAAAAAGAAGTGATCTCTTGCCAGCAAAGTCCAACGAGCTAGCGCGTGAAACTTTAATGAAACTTTAATGAAAGCCTCGCAGTGGCACAAAGGATACTCACCTTCCAAAGCCCATGGTGGCGCCGTATCGCGATATAAACACCCGATCGCAATCTTCCACGGATCCACGTGGGAAAAATCGGGGGGGAGAGCCGCGAGAGGAAAAGCGGAGGCCGTCTCGCGCGTTACGAAGTCGCGGCTAAGGCTCCACGTCCGCGTGTCGCGGACAAGTACTCGGAAACTTCTCGCCGGCGCGTACTTTAATCGCACGACGCGTAGAAGAGGCTGTGCCGTAGGGGTGGACTGAAGTAGGAGGCGGATGATGTAGGCGGATGACGGCGTGAGCCGCGAGGCGCTAAAGCGGTCTTCAGCGGCGAAACGTTTTTCCCGCCGTCTCCCTTATCTGCCTCATTATCTGAGAAGCCAGGTCAACAAACCACGTGCGCGGGACGCAGCCGTGCCGTCTGCATCAGACCGACCGCGCGGGCAGACGGTGTCACGGAACTCTCGGAGGATTCACGCGCAGTCGTCCCGCAGCGTTCTCGCCCGCGTAACCATTAAGGTCAGAGCACAAAATCAGCGTAATAGCTTACGTCGCTTACGACAAAGACGCAAGCGTAAACGTATAATAGATAGCGCACAAGCTTTGGCGTATGTCGTACTTACCTCCGATTACATATGACATTACTTTTACGCCAAAGCTTGTGCGCTATCTACGGTTACGCTTGCGTCTTTGTCGTAAGCTAATACGTTGCCTTGTGCTCTGCCCCTTAGACTGTTGGACGCATATACGACTAGCCTCGGCGTTCACACCGCGCGCTCGTGCGCCGTTAACCGCGCGCGTGACGAATTGACAGAAAAAGTCTACTTCATAGCCGATCGACGACAAAGATACAAGTGAGTCACGCGGGCACGTTGCTTCCTCCGAAACTCCGACGCGAGCTCGAATAAAGCTCCCCGGCGTGGCACGTGATTCACGGCGGAGCGCGCGATTACATCTGTCATGAATTAATTGATCTTCGGGCGCGTTATCGGGGAGCCTGACGTGGAATCGCGCGTTTCATTGCACGTGGTCAGAAGCTGAAATCGAAACGGAATTTTAGATTTCACCCTCCTGATGAGCGCACGGCTGCACCGCGGGATACAATATTATTTGCAATTCATTAACTCGCCACGTTTGTTTCCAGCGAGAAGCCAATTTCGCGGGGCAATCATAGATGCGTAAAAATAATGATCTTTTTTTTTGCGGCCGAAATTAAACGGTTACATTTTTCATTTACATTTATACGACGTGACGTCCGCCATCCGCGGCCCCTGCGTCCCGTCTTGAATTTTAACGTAACGCCTGTGTCTATTTTGATCAACGGTAAGATGTAAAAAATTTGTCCTGCGGGATATGATTTTTTAACCGAAGTTTTACTGAATAAATTGTCCTGTGTTTTTTTTCAAAAACATAGATTTGTATTATTACACGGAGAGAATTTTCTCTTAAAGTTTACCCTGAAAATTACGTAATCGTGGGACAACGTGGGGCATTGCGAAGAATTTTAGGAGTTTTTTGAAATTTAACATACTTTTTACTAGTAATTATACTAGTTAACCGACGTTTGTGAAACTGGGCCCTTTGCGTGCAATTTACTAGTAAAATGTGTGTATGATCATATTTCCAAAAACTCACATAAAGTTGTCGAAAATGCCATGTTGTCCCACGATTACTTGATTTTCAGGATAAATTTTAAAAGAAAACTCCGTGTACGCGTGTGCGTTACGCACAGCTTCTCTTATTTCACAAATAATGCGTAACAAAGCGGGAATGGCATCGTCGATAGTTAGTGCTGTGCATTCTTTTAATAATTAACATTATACGTTTATTATACGTCGCCGCGTTTCGTCCCGCTTATTTACTCACGACACCACAACTTATTCGCGTTCAAATAGTTTAACCCCAATTCACTCAACCAATTACGTTAATTCACCCGTTATATGGTATTAATGTACCTATAGTTAAATAAATCAATAAGTTTAATGGGAAAGTATGTACGCGAATATTTTTAAGAACCAACGTGTAGTTTTTCGTTAGAAAGTAACGTTTAGTCCACAATCTGTACTGTAAATTATATACCTTCTTTCTCTTATTTCTATAATTCGTTAAATGTTATTTATAAGCACTTATCCATTATCTTATCATTATCAAGACAAGACACGTCAAGGAAAATGTAGATTACAAGATCGTAAGAAAACGAGATTGTCGCGCATTAAGAGATCATAGCTATTCGAAATGATAATTCTCTTGATTGGTGTATGCTTTAATAATCATTGTCATGCTGCAATAATGATTACATCAAAGTGCTCATAAAAATCAATTGCATAACTTATTTAAAAACCGCTTGAAAACAGAACACTCTAAAAAGGAGGACATTTAAAATTATAATCGAATTATAATTTCTTTACGTGGGTTATAAAACTACATTTTGTCCTGTCACGACTCGTAAAGTAATATCCACATTTTTCCTGAAAAAGTTCCTCGGAATTTATAATCATAAAATATTATAATAAAGCGCTGATATACACATTTATGTAAACTTTATTTCCACTAAATTGACACATAAAATTGTATTATCAGTTTACGAGAAAACGATCTATCGAGGACAGTTAGCTTATCGTGAACTGAAAATAGGTAACTTTTTGAACAAATATAAAAAAGAAACAAAGCCAAACAATTTTTACGATAAAAATGTATCGTGACAATGTTCGTCAAATATCTGAACTTTTTTTCGTGCAGGTCTCGAAAATTCTTATTAATTCAATTGTAATTGAACACGTAACTGAAAATAATCTCTCATTAACAGACGACAGGCGTTCAATTTTAACGAAAGCTGTTCATCCATTTTGTATTGAAATCGATCACGTATTTCCGATTTAATTGTCATCGTTTCTCACTCCATGGCAAATATCTAGGTGGTATATTCTGTATGCGGGTTAAATCTCTTAATTCTTAGTTCTAGTTAAATACCTATCTGAAAATAATCTCTCGGTAACAGATTACAAGCTTTCATTTTTAACGAAAGCTGTTCATCCATTTTGTAGACAAATCGATCACGTACTTCTGATTTAATCGTCATCGCGGTCTCTCTCTCTCTCTCTCTCTCTCTCCCCCTCTCCCTCTCCCTCACGCGCGCGCAGCAAATATCTAAAGTGCATTTTGTTTCAAATTTTTTAATTCTAATTAAATGCGTACCTAAAAATAATCTCTCATTAACAGATCACGAGCTTTTATTTTTAACGAAAGCCCTTCATTCAATTTGTAGACAAATCGCTCACGTACTTCTGATTTAATCGTCATAGCTCTCTCTCTCTCTCTCTCTCTCTCTCTCTCCCCCTCGCGCGCGCGGCAAATATCTGCAGAGTATTCTGTTTCAAATTTTTTAACTCTAATTAAATGCCTACCTAAAAATAATCTCCCATTAACAGACCACGAGCTTTTATTTTTTATGAAAGCCCTTTATTCATTTTGTAAGCAAATCGATCCTACCTCTGATTTAATCGTCATCGCGATTTCTCCCTCGCGACAAACACCTAAAGGACATTCGGTATACGTTTCAAATCCCTTAATTCTAGTTAAATGCGTATCTGAAAATAATCTCCCGGTAAAAGATTGCAAGCTCTCATTGTTAATGAAAGCGTTCCACTTTGCATTCAAATCAATCATGCACTTCCCGATTTAATCGTCATCGTTTCCCGCTCCGCGACATACATCTCGAATGGTACATTCTCTGTGCGCCTCAAATCTCTTGATTCTGGTTAAACCCATTTCTGAAAATTATCTCTCGGTAACAGATTACAAGCTTACATTTTTAACGAAAACGGTTAATTCGTTTTGTACGCAAATGGATCACGTACTTCTGACTTAATCGTCTTCACGATTTCTCACTCGCGGCAAATATAAGATGGTGTTCCGTGTACATTTTCTGTCTGTTAATAGTTAATAGAGGAACGTCCTCTACTACGAGATAGGTTTCCAATATGAGACAGCAGGTTTTCAACACCCAAATTCAAGTCTTTTTTCGCAACGATTACACAATTTGACAATGAATTTTCCACTAAAGCCTGTAGATTAAGAATCTTTTTGACTTTTTGTCTCAAGTAGGCCCGAATGATAAAGGCCATCGACGCAACGCACTTGCATCTCTTTCGACACGCCATTCGAACGGTGTGGAAAACGCTTAATTAAAAAATTGTGTAAATTATGACAAAATTTTGCTTTACAAAAAGATTTATTTCATTGTATGGTGTATTAACTGCGAAAAAGAATTGTTAAAGACAAGCACAGGTTTTGGGCCGCTAAAGTGGCACGACCCCTTAAGTTCTGGTCAAACACGTATCCGAAAATAATTAAACGCGCCTTCGTTAACCGATCACGAGCTTTCTTCGCCCATTTGGTATTCGAATCCACCATCGTTCCCGCTCAGACGACCCCTCGCGTCGGATTTACAAGTTACTCCTCTCTCTCTCTCTCTCTCTCTCTCTCTCTCTCTCTCTCTCTCTCTCTCTCTCTCTCTCTCTCTCTCTCCCCCTTTCTCTCTCCCCCCGAAGACGTCCAGGCGCAAGAAAAAAAAAAGAAATACTTACGCGCGGCTTGCCGTGAGAGGGAAAGTGAGGGTAAACAAATGCGTGAAGGACGAAGTTATGAGGGCATTCCACAGTCGTCGTCGATCCGCGTTCGGTGTCTGCGTCTCGTCCGCCGCGAAACGCGATTTCGACACGCAATATACATACGCGACTCGCTCGAGAATCTGCCGGGGGACGTTATTACGCGGGAAAATGGGCAAGATAGCGCGGGGCAGCACTGACCGAGACGACGCGTCGACGCCGAGGCCGCGGCGGAAGCGGCGGAAGAGGGACCTCGACCGGATGCACTCGAAGATCCTGCAGGCCAAGCGGAAGTTGGTAGGTCGCGCGTCCACGACCCCCTCCGATTCCGCTCCGCGCGGGTTCCCGGGGACGAGAGCGGCCTCGCGGACGCGCGCGCGGCGCCGAGTCTCAAGAGGCGCGTTCCGCTTCACGCACGACGCCGCCGTTTATCCTCGTCGCTCGCCGGACGTTGAAGGGGGACAAACGGCGCCGCGTGCATATCACGCGTGAAACGGAACGCGCCTAAGAACGATCGCGCGCGGGGGGACACGCGGGACACGCAAACGCGACACTCGGACGTACGCGCGTACCGCGGGACGTAGTGCCGGCGATCGCTGCAGCATGAAGCTCTCCGACTCGACGGACTAGATTAGTGACCTCGCGTGGAAGAGGCGACGGTACCCTCGCGACTATCGGTAGTCGGCGCCGTTTCAAAAAGCGCCCGCGCCGACATGGAGACGCGGCGGCTTCCGCAAACGTTAGGTTAGGTTAGGTTAGGTGTCGACTCGAGGTGGTACGCTGCTTGCCGGACGGTCTCCCGGTTTGCGCGGTTTCATCGGGACCGTCAACCCGCTGTCGGAGAGAATTATTCGCGCCCGTGGCCGAGTAATCCCTCTCGTAGTCTGCGAGTCTACGTTCCGTGGCGAGGCAGACGTGCGCAGGGATTAACGGAGCTCTTACAGAAAGCTCTCAGATAAGCCGCCGCGTGGACGAGATGTAATTTGCACGAGCTGCTTTGAATTTTTAACGCGCCTTTTATTCTCGCCCGACTGACACGTATATTGGAATTTGTCCCAGGATAACGCTGGGAAGGATGGCAAACGGAAGAAGCCAAACCAAGGAAAGATCTGCAACCGACTTCTGCCGGAACCTGTGAGTAACCTTGTCTGATGGGATCGCAACGGCATCGCTTGATATCCACGTCTGAGCGCTTTTTGCACTTGATTGTTTCAGACTGCTGGTATATTCAGAAATGGCACGAAGGGCAAAGAGATCCAGAAAGGTACCGCGGTCAAAGCTTATTTGTTACAACGATAACGGAATCGCACGACTGTTTTAATCTCTTGTAATGTCTTGCAGCGGACAAGTCGCAAAGTACATTCCACACAGCCCGGCTGAAGGCGGACGCGTTGAAACTTTTTAACGGTGACACTCGAGGATCCAAGTAAGCGCATTACCAACTTAGACTCGACGTGGCCGAGTGCATACAGTTTTGTAATTAATAAACGTTTATTATCTTGTAGATGTATAGTGAGTGTACCGACGCAGGATAAAACCACTGAACAATCGTCGAATAAAGATTGTATGAAGAGTAGCTTGGAATGGACCCTGGAGCAAAGCCCTGTTCTGAAACCAAGGTGCGTACATTGTCTTCTGTACTTGTAATGAAAATGCAAAGCTATACAAGACTTTTTCGTATAAATACAGAGATGTTTTTGCCTAAAGATTGCATACGTGTTAATTTTTGCAGTCGGAATCAGAAGCCATGTCTTGTTAGAAAGAAAGGCGAAGAAAACCTCTTTGAAGTCACAGATTCTAACACAATTAAACAAAGTGTCAGCGACGAATCGAGACATGGTTCGAAGGAAGACGTATGTAAACGTAGGCTCTTCCAAAATGACGGAGAACAATCTGAAACTATTATTGCGCAGTAAGTAACAGGAGTTGTATTGTTAAATCTGATAAGACTGTGTATTATAGTATAAATATGGTGTATAATAAAACATTTGTTTCAGAATATCAGATAACACTGATGTCGCGAAGGAAAGTAGAATTAATAGAACAGAAACAGAGTATTCAAATAAGAGCAAGCATCCATGTGACCCATTAAATTGCTTTATGAAGTTCTGCAAAATTTCTGCGGAAAAATTTGAGACGGACATTCTAAAAACTTATTCGGGTATATTATATAATCTGAAAATACTATAATCCGTGATCATTTATCTCGTTATTCAGTAATTTATTCTTAATCGTTATTTATAATGAATTCCAGATCCTGTTGCAACAAAAATTAAAAAATTAAAACATGCGTACGCTAATTCTTTTCGTCAACAACTTTTGCGCAAAAGGAATAATCAGGAATCGGAGAATGTGGAACCTACACGCTCCGTGGAACATCAAGCTTGTTCATTCTCGGACGTTTCGCAGTTTTCACCTGTCGAATTCGAAGTTCCTAAGTGCAGTGAAACTCGTATCACTGCAGCTCGTCTTCAAGAAGATTCGCCTCCTCAAAAGATTCGCAGGTCCCGTTTACATGTCGAGCCTAAAAAAAATAATGACGCAACGCGCAATAGTTCTGCATTTTGTTCATCACGAAATACTTTTGCACAACCCAATACAAATGACTCCGTCGTGAAAAATTGCGAAAATAATGATAATCAACATTCGAAAACATTCAAAGATATTCGTCCACTTTCGAAATCAACGAGATTTTATTCTATGAACGATAAAGATTTTGTTCAATTAGATTTTCAGAAAAATTCTAAGCACGCTAATTATCTTTCGAAAGATAAACGACATGATATAGATGATTTTTCGATTGACATTCCTTATGGGAATTTACGACACGGTGAAAATTCGAAACGCTTAGAATCCACAATGTTTCGCAAAAGTGGAATGTTTTATGACTCCACAGTATCAAAGAGACATTTTTCAGAAGATTATTCCCGTGCAAAATTGCCGACTACTGTTTCCGATATCTGTACATCAAACATATCTGAAAAATGCAACAACGAAACACATGAATGTAATGCGAAGAATGTTAAACGAGTACCTACCATCCTTCGTCGATATAACTACGTCACCAGTAAAAAACCTAATCATTCTGTACAGATAATTGACGATTGTGCAGAAGGCTTATGCAAGAAGTGTGAAAGTAACTTTCATAGAAATCCAAGCGATAGTATTGAGAAAGAATATGAAACTGTATTTCCAAACGTGTCGGAAAATCTTCCCACATCTAGTACAATGAACGCGATATTTGATCAACAAATACAGGAGCCTCAAATTGGAACGATGAGAATAAAGGATTCGCAAGAGTCCCAAGTCGAACATTTCGATATAAATATGTATCCTAGGGAACATAACGAGAAAAACGTATTTTACCGATACAATAGCTCTTTGTATCCGCGAACTTACGAAGCTTCACACGATACAAATGCATATTCCGGAACATTGCCTCAACGAGACCAAGTCTCGCCAGTTCTAAAGAGATATAATTTTCATTCAAATAATCGTTCGATTAACTACCTTCAAGGTGCGAGTTCTAATTTCAATGTAGAGCCAACAAAAGAGTTTCCTCGGCAGACCAAATTACACGCGTTGGAAACCAACAAGCAATTGCTTTTCAGAAAAAATACACGCAGTCAGAATCAAAATATTTTCAATAGTGCTAACGACAGAGTGCCGACGTCAATTGACTTTCCCCAAAACATTCAAATCGAAGAAAAATCATGCCTGGAAATATTTGATAAAAGAGACGCAGAGCGCACCAGTTATCAAATTAATCAGAATGCGGATCATTTCAACGAACAGTATATTTATTGCGATTCTGCCAATTATCCACGCAAATATAAGGGACAAGCGCATTATTGTAAAGAAACTGCTCAGCCTGAAAATTTACGCGACTCCAGAGGCTACAATAACAGCGTAGATGATTACGTTCATTTATCTAACACTATGCGAGATGTACCGTCGTTACCACCGAAGCAAAAGAATAATCTACACGTGTATCCAAAAGCGATCGACGATCAGTATCGCACAGTGTTATTGCAAAATGTCACTCAACCTGTAAAATATTTAGCTGTAAAAAACGGTTCGGAGATCCAAAGAATACCCGTGTATATAAGTGACAAGAGCGCTAGAGTTGCGGAAAATGGTCCGTTAAAATTAGTAGCTCTAATGGATCCGGGTACCCAGACAGAAGCGCAAGAAATTGCGACGCGGGCAGTACCGTTGCAAATGGACAGTTTGCAATTTAACGACTTAGCAAAGAACATCCACAGAATACCCGTGTATATAAGTGACGGGAGTGTTAGGGTTGCGGAAAATGTGTTCCGTTAAAAGTAGTAGCTTTAATGGATCCAAGTACCCGAACAGAACGCAGACGCAGGTAGTGCCGCTGCAAACGGATGGTTTGCAATTTAACGACTTTGCGAAACGTAAGGTAAGCGATGAATTTTTCGCAAAGCATGTGGGTTCCGTGAATGCGATACTGTTAAATCCGGAGTCACAGTCTAATATTTAGCATATGCTTCGAATTTGCAATGGATACACGATTACACCACATTGTACACATAGTTGATCGTAGCGGCACAGCACATCGATCATGTTTCTTGCGAGGAAAATATTGTAGTTACGAGAGGATGCATCTTTCTTTCCATACGCATAAACAAGTGTTATTAAGATAAGAGTTATAAGTCTGCCTCGAAAGATAAAGTTATGTCTACTTATTCTACATATTTTGTGGAAAGATAGGAATCTCAGAAAGTGATAATATTTTCGTAAATGCCTTGTGATATTTGTTGATAATTGATACACGCTTATACACACGTGTATGTTGTGTGTGTATATATATATATGCGTGTTTTTCCTCATTTATCTTTCTACAAATGTGAAAGACAATATATACTTCTAGCACCAGGTATTTCCTTAATAATAATGAATATATTTTATTTGGTATGGAAAATGAAAGTACAAAACTACCTGTGATAGTTGGAACATATATGTATTATTTATGTTACCGTTAAGTCATAATTCTTGGACATCAAATGTTTAACATAGGAGAAATTCATCTTTCGTCAATCTCACAGCAATATCGGTACATATATTAGTGAATTTCTGAATAAGTGTGATAAAGGCTTGTAAATAAATGTCGCAGAACGCAAAGTGTATACGGCAGCAAGATGGCTTGCTAATAAATCCCTAATATTTCCTAACTCGTTAGTTCGGAGCGGGTTTGGTGAAGCGCAATTAATCTTCACAAGGATCCCTTCTTCCGCTGAAAGCATTCGCTCTGCTTTTTTTTAAATATTTTTATTCGGACATCCTTTCCATTAAATTCGAAATAAATATTTAGAGATATCGACATGACAACATAGAGCGTGCACAAGGCGAGAAGGAGACGTCTCTTCGTGACGGTACGCGATACCAGAAGACCGGATCGACGTTGATTTCATTATTATTACGATTCGCTTTAAACGCGTCAACGTCGTGCGGAGCAGTTTGATTAAACGCGAGTACATTGTTTGTCTTTTACAATCTCTTAGGAAGTACTCTAGGAGGAAGTCTCTAGGTACACGTGCCCATTCCTTGTCAAAACGATACGTACGTTCGTTCCTACCGGTTCGGCGCGCGACGGCGAAGCCGCGTGTTTTACTCTGGGAATGAAGTAAATAGTTCTCAGTCTTCAAAATTACTTTATTGTACCAAAATAAAGTCGTTAAAGAGTTAGTTACGACCTCGCGGAAATCGCTCAATATGAAATCGTAATACATCATCTGTGTGTTGGTATATAGCTGGTAGATGCTTATAGAACTGAAATTATTCAAGTCGGGTACTTTCGTGCGCCATACACAGCGGCGTTAAAATGCCATAACTCTCTTACGAACTTTATTTATAACATCCTAAAAGTTCGGACACCTTAATTTGTACTTTATGTGAGGATATTTTGGTTACGATAGACCTTGCTAACCGATTTTTAATGTAGTTAGAACCATGCCGTGTCCTCTCGGAGATTAAGTCGAGCGACCGTATTCTCTTCTGGGAAAGAGAAAAGGAGAGAAAGAGAGAAGACAGAGAGAGAGAGAGAGAAAGGGAGAAGGAAATAGAGAAAATGAAAGAGAGAGAGAGACGGTTCATCTTAACGTTCCCCTGAGTTTGATTTCAATATGAACGTCTCTATGCGCCAAACATAGAGAGAAAACAGTTTCCGGAAAATAGATTAATGTAGGAGAAAAAGATATCGATGAATATATAAAGAAGTAGACGTATCAGACTTGTGATTTTATGTACAGCTTGGAGATTCATCGTCAACAAAGAAGGAATTAGCGTCCTCTCGCCCATCGTAGTATGGCATCCGCTAATACGTCCAGATGCGCTTTCGTCTGAAACACACCGGAATACGATTGTATTATCTCTGTCGACTTATTGTCGGCGAAGAGGAAAATGAAAATTCCGTAACTCTCGCTACGCGAGCAATCCTCTTCCCGTATGCGCGCGTTGCCCGCGCAGTGATTACGATTAATAATTGAAGCGTTATGATGTTCAAATACGATTTGTCTTAGCCGGTTGGCTCGTGGCATGCCAGATCCGATATTCGAGCGTTTGGTCAAGAATCTTTAATGTACTCTAGTCTAGCGAATTGTGCGAGGTCATACCCTCACGGAAAAGCAAACGAAATAATTACTAGAAAATTACTGTACATCAATAATTTCCGATGAGCCAATTACTGATATGCAGTAATTTTCTAGGAATAATTTCGTTACTTTTTCGTAGGGGTAATATTGAGCGTTGCCTTTGCAAAGGTAAGAGGCACTGCTGCACGTTCTCTTTATCCGGAATGATCTTATCAATAGTATTTCAATGATAAGATCCCTACACTAATTTATGTAGGGGATCTCTATCCCTTTCCCCCCCCCCCCCCCGCAGCGCTGATAGCATCCCCTTGACGCGGAAACGCTGAAAGGGAAATTGGGTAAAGCGAATTTATCGCAGGCTGTTTTCCACACGTGCAAGCAGATGGTGCGTGAATTATCAAAAAGATTGTGTTCCCGTATTTTGTACCGAATCTCCCCGGAAAACGCTACCGGCGAGTCAGAAAACGGGCTCTTGATATTACACCCACGGTTAGCGCAAACACACGCCCCCATTTTCTTTTGAACTTTATAACGAAAGTCACTTTAAAAGTTCAGGGAGGTTTTACATAGAATACAAAATCCATATAGCCACGCGTATCTTTTAGCCTTAACCAGATGATGAAAATTTAAATGGAATTCTTACGTCCGCACAAAGGCTTTCTTCTAGAATTATTTGAGCATCGCCGACTGGAAGAAACGCGTGACATTATCCCCAAGGTTTAAGGCGCGCGCTACTTTGTACTTGGACTGGTTTCTCTTTCGCGGAGTGGACCAAATTTGTCAGAATTCTTTCGCGTTAGGGATACACGTAGGGATACACACGGGAACCGAAAAGGTATGATATACACACGGAGAGATATGTATCGATATACATTATGTATATATGGAATCTATTCTTTTATTTATATTTATAGAGGAGAGTCTCGTTTATTTTCTATGAGATAGGCTTCTAACACGAGATAGCAGAGTCTCTGTTAAATTAATAGGCACCATCGGTTGGTTCCACCATGAATTTATTGCCCTTGGAGTGAAATCTGTTTAGCGGGAAGAGATAATGTGATTGAATTCGGACGTTGAAAACCTACTATCTCATGACAGAGGACCTTCCTCCAGTTAAAAGAAAAAGGCAGATACGAGTCGCACATAATTTTACTCACGGTTTTGTAAAACATGCAGGCTTGCCTATCCTCGTCCTCGCCTGAGGGACAGTCTATAAAGCCGTCGCACAGAACGTGATCGTCGATGCAATGAAATCTACCCATTCTATCCGCGGTCGGGCAGGCGAATCTTTCCATTCCGTCTTCGGAGACTGGGCATTCTGTAAATAGGATCGCAAAAATCCTTGTTCAATCCGTTGGTACGAAGCTGACATTATACCTAGATAGAACGTACAGGTATTGCGCATATAAACGTTAACGTTACCCGATATCTCGGCCAAATCGGAAAAATGGCGCACGAGAGGTATCGCGGAAAGATGCAGGAGGAGCCTAGTATCGTCTTTCCAACGTAATAAAACCGTTGGAGCTTCCATATGGAATTTCTATCATTTCGTTTATTGTTTTCGTTACTTCGTCAATGTCTGTTTTTCCGATGGCCGCGAGCGTTTTTCGGTATTTCTAGCTTGCGCGGTTCACCGAGGCGGGCACTTCTCCCATTATTTAAAGCGACGATTAATCGGATTAGGTCGTCGGGCAATCGCCGCGTCGAAATTTTCCAACTTCCGCTGTGACAGTTAATGCAAATTTCATCGGCGTTAATCGGCAGCTGCGCCGTGTTAATATCCAAGTGTACATTTCAGCGCCCGATATTCCCGCCACTGTACGGTATTAAACGTCGGTGACTGATTCTCCGTGTTATTTGCCCAGCGTGACGGTGTATTTCAAAAGCCCGTGTGCTCAGTGCACGCTAAATGTGGTTAGCGCATAGTTCTCTGTGCCACCTGTTTAATACGGAGATCTCGCTCGTAAGCGCGTAGGACGAGTCTTAGGCGGCAAATGTAATGCCAAATATGTACGATGGGGGATGTGGGTCGACGAGTGTAAATTTCGATGTTAAGCTCGCCATCGCGATAATAATCGCGATGGCAAAACGAGCGCCCGTAGCATTTTACATTGTGACCTATCGCTTTATATATCGTGACCCGAACAGATCAGCACATGATAAAAACAACGCTCGAGCGCACTTGGTTTTTACGTTTTTACACAACGTCTCGCTTTTCAAAGTGGGTTCTGGCATTTTGAGGAAAACTTTCAATGGAAAGAAATCTCCCCCGGCATTCCGCACGCTCCTCACGTTTTAGATTTCTCAATGCCGTCTGCACGACCGGGAGGATGTTTACCGGCATACCCCTGTTCCTCGTCATCCTCTTGTCGCGGATTCACCCCGTAGCCGACGCTCTCTCGCTCTCTCTCTCTCTCCCTCTCCTCGATCAATAAATTTGGGAGGGACGGCGGGCAACGCTCATGCGACAGCGTTTCGTCACTTTTTCTTTATTTGCCGAAGCGCTTTGTCTGTATTTCTCCCGCGCGACGCGTTTCATTCGGATTTATAGACCCGTTCCGCTCGTGTAACTCGTGCCGCGTATATTCATATCATCACGCACTCATTCGACTCATATTTCAAAAAAAATTAGAAACGACTTCCACTGTTTTCATGCGAACGGAGCTTTTGCGGGGAATCGAGATTTACGAGGGCACGCACGTTTTACAATACAATTCCAATAGTGAGCTCTTGTTCAAGTTCTTTTAATAATCGCAATTAAATTAATTTTCTGGTAACAAGTGTAATCTGATACGCCACTCCAGTCGTGAATTATTCTTTTCCAAACTCTTCGTTCCCCCAATTGCGCGACACAGAGATAAATTTGACGAAATTGATTTCGTAATATCGCGAATTTTTTTACGTATTTGAGATTCCAGAGTTTTCCTTCGCTGTCCTCGTTTGCAGTTTTCGATCTTCGTCCGTCTGTGTTAATTTGCACAAAGATTTAAAGTGAATGGGCTGGTGTTTTAGAATGAAAATAATCGCGATTAAATTCATTTTCTGGTAACAAGTGTAATTCCAGTCGTGAATTATTCTTTTCCAAACTCTTCGTTCCCCCAATTGCGCGACACAGAGATGAATTTGAACAACTTGATTTCGTAATATCGCGAATTTTTTACGTATTTGAGTTTCCAGAGTTTTTCTTCGCTGTCCTCGTTTGCAGTTTTCGATCTTTGTCCGTCTGTTTTAATTTGCACAACGGGCCAAAGATTTAAAGTGAATGGGTCGGCGTCTTAGTATGAGAATATCCCAATATAAATTCGCGTCTCTATTCCACATACGCGTGTGATTCAGCGCTCAGACTTACGTTAATTGAGCGAGTGGAACACCAGAGAGGGACGAAAAGTAATTGGAAGATTCACCTCTTATTTTATCAATTATTACATTATCAAGTTTCGCAAAACTAGAGCCCTCTTCCAACTCATGTTTAATCCATACCTTTTTTTTGCAAGGGACTCGCGCGGGAAAGACGAGAGAGGGAATTATATATTTTACCAAAGTTGAAATGCGTTTTAATATATTCAAAAGAGTTCGCACTCACGTCGTTATCAGGGAATTGGGCATTTAAGGTTATCGGAATATTTAAAATGGATTACCATATCTGTATAACTTATCGCACGATAGACACCTTGACGTGCGTCGAATAATTCATCAGATAAAAGCTTAATCCAATTGATTTTTTTTTTTGCGGAAAGTCATTTCTTTGTCCACAACCACCCCGAAAATTGATGGAGCGTCTTGGTAACCCCATGCGAATGTTTTAATATTTATCTCACGTCAAGAGAGAAGAAGGAAAGACGGAAAAGAGGGAAAGAGGAGATTTTTGTAACTTGTACATTATCAGATTTGGCCAAGCCCGTGTCCGAACAACTCCTGAAAATGTTGGGAGGCGCTCAATCAATCTCGCCGTCGTGGGCTAATTCGTCTACAGCGAGAGCGATACCGTGCGGTACTTACCGATTTGCGGCACGTCGTATTGTATGCTTCCCCGGATTGATCTCAACATGAGCTGCGAGGCGATGCTCGCGCCGGCGGAGGACGCCGAGGATGCTTGAGCCTGATGTCCCGGGGATTCCCCCTGCGCGTCGATCGAACGCCGTCCGATCGTGATCTGGCTCCGCTTGCTTCCGGGTAGTTTGTTTCCGCTAGTCTCGTAGGCGAAGGCCTTCGGTACGAAGCCGCCGTTCGTGGGTAAGTTAAGCGGGGTGCCGGCCTCGGCGCGCGCGAGATCAGTCTTCGTGCTCGTCGCAGTGTTAAATCTCTGCTCCGCGTAGAGATCGTCGTGATTCGATTGTCTAGATTCCTGAAGGGTGGTAGCCTTCTTGCCAGCCTCGTCGCACACCAGTATCGGTAGACTGAGCGGGCCCCTGAGCGGGTGCCGGCATCCGATGCGCCGCTTCTTCGGGCGCTGATGGGCCTGCTGCCGGCTGCCGAGCAGATGGTGATTGCCGTCGTCGTGGACGTAGGGCTCCGCGACGTGGGGCTGCGTCGCGGCGTGCGGCTGCGACGTCATGTACTCGGAATAGAGGACGTTCAGCACGGCGGGCGACAGGGCGAAGAACACGTTCTGGAGCTCCCGCGGTTCCTTGACGATGTCGTCGATCAGCATGCCCGCGGGCGACCACGAGGATATCCGCGGCTCGTCGTTGAAGACCAGCCAGTTGGACAGGTCGTCCCGGTGGGGACCGTCGGAAGGATATATCCTCATGTGCAGCAGGTTGTTGTTGTTGCCACCGCCTACCGAGCTCAGCTCGCTCTTCTTTCTAATGCTACCGCTTCCGTGACGATAGTCGAGCCCCTGTGTGCCTTGTACTTGTATGATTACGGGTCGATTGCCCACCGCCAGGTCCAGCCCCTGTCCCACGTAGGTGAGAAGCCAGAACATGCAAACCGCCATTTTACAAATCATTAACTCTTTTCAGGTTGCTTTTCTCTATTTCTTCTCTCCTCTCTCACCCTCTTCCTTCTACCCCTTCTAGCTTTTTCTATCTGTCTATATATATCTACGTATATATCTCTTTTTCTCTCTCTTCCTTCTCTACCACCACTTTTGACGCACCCGATTATACGGCTGGGCGTGGTGTTATAATTGACCTATGTGAACAGTAATGATGCTCCTTTCTCTCCTTTGTGTTTTCTTATTCGCTCTCTTTAGCTGCTTACTACTCACTGCCAGTCTAAAGGCACGTCTGTAGCAACTCTGGGTTAGGCCGACTTTTCGTTTGAACTCGCGGTAGGTACACTAGGAAGTTGAGGATGGAGCATGTATATATATATATATATATATATATGTGTGTGTGTGTGTGTGTGTGTGTGTGTGTGTGTGTGTGTGTGCGTGTGTGTAGGTGTGTGTCGTGTATATGTATGTATGTGTCGTGTGTGCGTGCGTGTATGTGTAGGGTGGGCGGGAGATACAGGGCGGTCGATTGATACCGAGAGGGCGAGGAAGGGAAGGATAAACTTGATAAAAAATCACGAGCGGCGATATGTTACGAGAGACACAACGACGATTATTGCATAGAAAACGCAACGGTGCTACGCGTGCAACTGCATCGACTGCGATCTGCCTAGCATGCTCCAATTGGTACCACGGATTCTGTCTTTCGCAAGGGACCCGAAAAGTACGAGCCTCTCTCTTTCTCTCTATCTCTCGCTCGCTCGCTCGCTCTCTCTCTCTCGCTCTCTCTCTCTGTCTCTATCGAGGATAAGTCGCCGACTCGAGCGCACGGTGTATCACGTTTGACATTTGATTGCGTTATGCTCGCTCTTCTAATCGATACGCTTCACTTTCGGTAGTCCATGATAGTAGCCGCGACCTTGGCTTTCCCTTCGTGATAAAGCGCACACGTCCTGTACCGACCGTCCTGAAATCAGGTCGTTAATAGAGAATAACGTGCGATATTCTATAACCGCGAGTGCCAGGAACACAAAAAGATTTGTGGTGGTTTTTTGATTATTTAAATTTTCTTTTATTTACTTGTGATTTATATATATATATATTTTTTCTCAGGATATTCAACAGAAGTGCTGCGACGGTGTGGAGGTGGTTATCGGAGGTGCTCATCGTGCGTGCTCATAGATGCGTATAAGGTGCTCGAAGTGTGGACAACATTTAAACCAATCGATGGTGCCACTCATGTTTAAACGCCCGCGATCGTTTCGCGTTTCGCCAATAAAGCTACCATCTCTCCGAGAGACAACCCTCTCCCTCGTTGTTTCCTCATCCGCTTACCTTTCCTCTCTTGCTTCTCTCTCTCTCTCTCTCTCTCTCTCTCTCTCTCTCTCTCTCTCTCTCTCTCTCTGCTCATTTTCTCTCAATGCTCTCTCTTTCCACCTCTCTGCTCTTTCACACACTCGGCCCACCCTCTCTTTTCGTTTCCTCTCTGTCGTACGTCCCGAGCCTCCCTTTCTTCTCACGTATCGAACGAGCGTCCCGGATATCGTTTCCACAAGGCGGAAATCAAGCTACGACGATCGCGATTACGGTAACGATCATCCGGAGAGCGTCCGCTTGTAAATAACCGCGCCTACCCAAGTTTCGCCCGGGAACCCGGCGAGATAAGCCGCGTACGTGACGCCGCCAAGTCATTTTCGCGAAGCGTGCCGTATTACGGAGCGGATCTACGCGAGGCTACCGTGACGCAGCTGGCCGGCGCGATTTCATTCAGCCCTTACGTTCCCGTTAAATTCTAAATCTCTCTCGTACTCGTACACTAGGATCCGATTCACGTACTTGGCCAAACTTTCGTTCGAGTTAATTTCAGACTCGGTGACGAACTCGAATGTCGATACCCACGCGGACCACTAATCACCCGAGTATTTTCCCCGATATCTCGTTCAGCTAAGGCCCGGTTTCACCAATGTCGCTCAACTTTAATCTTATTGCTGGCTTAACTCATTTTCTTTTTAAGGAGACGAATGGAAAGAGGACAAAGGATAAGTTGAGCTAAGATTACAATTAAGCGACGTTGACGAAACCGGTCCTAAAAATCTACGATTCCAGCTTAAACGCTCTCCAGCGACTCTAAATCTGGTTGCGATTGCAATGAGGACTTCGCCGGGCGATATGCGATACACCTCGCGCCGAATTTGATCGCGTATCCATGATGAAAGAAAATCTTTCGCGGCTGCAAGCGCGATTGGCCCAACTTGGCCCAAGTTCTAGTCCTGAGAAATAGTGTAGCCAATCAACTCGCAGCTTTTATGGAATAGCCGCAACTAGAACTTGGACCAAGTCTAGCATCGTGGACACAGACCGTTACGTTACTGCGTTATGTAATTTTGCATCGCGAGTCATCAGGTAAGCCACCTACGAAACGAGGAATCATAATTTTGCGGTTCAAGTCACGGGGACTTCCGTGAGTCGTTCTAATGCTCGCGCGGTCGCGCGAAAATTCGACTCGGCCGCGCGTAATCCGCGTCGCGAGCGCCCGCCGCGACGCGACTCGCGCGAGCGGGACCGACACGCGGGACGCGACGACCCCCCCGGGTATCGGACCCGAGTGACGGATCCGATGATCTGGCCGTACGACGATGACAGGGTGATATAATGTGGCTAGCAGTGTGGTATGTAGGTCGGTCATATCAACAGGTGCCCCGAAAAACGTTCAAAAAGCAAAGGCTTGCCGTGGCAGAGAGCGGTGCGCGTTTGTCGGTGCGAGACGCGGAAGTAGGCGTAGTACACGAGCGTGTATTTGCGACAGAGGTACACAGGACATGTGTTTAGAACAAAGGCAGAGAAAAAGGTACACCGATATATATATGTATATATATATATATGTATCGATATGTCGATATATATACATATATACATATATATAGTGAGGATACAGCCGGGCGCGAGAGACGCCCGGAGAAGTTACAGACAGAGATTACGGTTCATCGATAGGAGGTGCAGTGTTACGCAAGGGCATTACGTGGATTATACTTGCTTCTTGATATCTGCCGTGCCCTGCGTTTCCCCTCCGAGCTTTCGGATCCCCGATCTCCCGCCTCGGCCTCTTTTCTTCCCTCGACCCTCCGCGTCGCGTCGCGCCGTTCCGTGATGCCGCTTCTCAACCTAATCTCCCTTTCCTTCTCTCTCTCTCTCTCTCCCTTTCCTTCTCTTTTCTTTCTCTCTTCTCTTTCCCTCTGTTTCTTTCTTTCTTTCTCTCTCTCTCTCTGTCTGTCTCTCTATCTCTCTCTTCCTCTCGTATTTCCTCCCTCTTTATCTCCACTTTTCGTCCAGCCTCTCTTTGTTACCCCCGCGCGATCCTACGATATCGCTGGTGCGATGTGTCTCCCAGGCACCTGTCGCGGTGCACCTCGCACACAGTCCTCGGACGAAAGGGGATGCGCCGCGTCCGATCCTCCTTGCACGCGCGGGCGCGCGCTTTTGTGTTTCCTTCCTTTTTCTTTGTTACTGGTCCGCCCTCCTCAGCGGACACCCGAGTTTCTGGCTGGAGTTACGTTCGTCGTGCATCACGCTACCCTCTTCCTCTCCCGCTCGATCGTTGGTCGCGCGCCACGAAGAGATCTATGCTCGCCCCTGGTCAGCAGCACCCTGGCAGCACCCCGTGCTGGATCATACCACGTACGACGTCGTCCGGTCACACACGGCAGGGTGCGACTCATTCACTGGCATCTTCATCGCTCACCACGCTCCGCTTCCGTATGGCCGTTCATATATGGGCGTGTGATGTCGCGCGAGCGCGCGCGCGCGCCCGCCCGTCCGCTCGCTCTCGTCCGCTACGCTCGCGCTGAATGTGCGTACGTGCGTACGTGTACGCGCGGTGTTTGACGTTACACCGGGGCGGCACCGATCGGAGTCACCGACGACGCGATGTCACCGCGAAGTCACCGGGACAAATCTTCCAGGTTGCCCTAATGACTCGTTCTAGCGCAGTTACTCTCCCCCCTCCGTCTCTCGTCCCACCCCCGCTTCTGCTTCTCTCTCTCTCCCCTTTTCTTTATAGGCCTGTAACACCGGTCTTTTATGATGATGTCTGGTCTGCGACTATAATCGCGCGGCGTATTTCAAAGGTTAAAGGCTGTTTCCCGCGGTTGCCCGACTTCCCGTGCTGACGTCGCCGACGATCTCGACCGGCCGCGCCGGTGTTCCATTGAGCGACGAGAAACGTTCCCTCTCTCTCTCTCTCTCTCTCCCTCCCTCTCGCTCTTTCTTCCTTTGGTCTTTCTCTCTCACTCTCTCACTCTCGGTCTCTCCCTCTCTTGCTCTCTCGCTCCGTCTCCCACGATGCGTAACTCTTTCCGCTCACCCGACCTCGGCACGTCGCGCGACAGCACCGCTTCTCGTAGATGCACACCCCCTCGCGAACGCCGTCGTTGACGCGCTTGCACTGGAGGTGATCCTCGCGAGGGTGCCGTGCGACGAGTGGCCGACTCGCCCCTTTTCCTCACGGCGCGGAAGTAGGTGCTCTCGACCGACGGGAAGCGACGACGGAATCGAATGGTGAGGAGGTTGCGGCCGTGGATGGTTGCTTTGTTGGTCGAAGGTCGAGGGATGTGGAGGATCGAAGGGTTGGGACGGTGGGTTACTTCGGTGAGTGAGCTGCCTGGCGCCCTCACCAGAACTAACTCCCACGCTGCGCGGCGAGGACCCGGTGCTTTAATACAACGCGCATTCTCCCGGCGCTCACCCCTCTCCTCCGACACCGGGGTGAGCGACGACGGGGTGGCTTTCAGCCCTTCTTGCGTCTCACCTGGCCTCGCCAAGCCTCGCCTCGCCTCGTCTCGCCTCGTCTCGCCGCGCCTCGCCTCGCCTCGCCGCGTCTCGCCTCGCCACGTCTCGCCTCCACCCCGGCCGACGCGCCCATGAACGGATTAAAGCTGCCGCGAGCCCTAAGCACCCCCGGACCGTACACCCTGCGACTTCATGTGACGTTTCGCAGCGATACGGTCAAAGGTGATGTGGCCATCACGAGTGCCACCATCCTGTCCGCGGTCGCCACCCCAATGGGCACATACGGCGGTTCCGTAC